TATTCATAAATCAGATGTTGTCACATTCACATCATGAATGGACCATAATCATCTATATGTGCTTTATAAAGTCTCATGTCAAATTGATGACATATATTACTTTCACATAGTGAAGGGTTATTTTAAGAATCCTTATTATTCTCAGTATCACAATGGTGACGATTATAATTTCGTCTATTGCCACGTCCACATCCATTGATACCTTCATAGTAATATTTTTGTCTTCTTTCAGACTTATCACATACGGCTATCACATTCTCTAAAGGGAATGAGAATGGAGCAAATTCAATGGGACGGGTTTTCAATTCTTTGCCCACAATCATATATGAATTTAATCATGGCAAGGCATAGAAATTTTACCACTTTGGGTGGTTATAATTTCTTTCAAACTCCATTAGAGTTGCAAACAAAATTTATCGTCTTTGCTTGTATATAAAATCAAATTATAGAATTTCAAGAATTTAAAATTGAAAAATAAAGTAAAATACTTACCTTAAATCCAGAATTTAATCATGAAGGAAGTTCATAGAATATTTGACAATCATTATGCTCAATCCCAAAGCTTCTACTCAATTGGTTAGAGTCTCGTGCTGATAACGTGTTATAAAACAATAAAAGAAGAAGAAGAGTAGTGCAGAGAAAAGTAGAGGGAGAGAGTTCATATTGATTTGAGATGAATTACAATAGAATAGAACCCTCTATTTATAGGGAGAGGGTGACTTAGTCACCAAGCAATGAACCCTAGAATCTCTCTAAATATAGACATTCACCATAAATAGAACTCTATTTATAACAAATGCAATATAATGTGGGATTTTTCTAGTCTATTTTAAGCCGTTTTTTTTTTGTCTTAATCTTCAAGCAGCGTAGAAATAGCTACTTTTTGACATGGTATTTAGTTTTTATTCAGTATTTTTAATGTTGTGTAAAATTAGATATTACTCTATTAAAATTAATACAAAAGACGTTTTTACCCTTTCTTCTTAACATTTATACTGCACCTCTGAAGTTAAGAACATGATGTCCTAAAGTTTAACAACGGAAGGTGCAAATACATGACAC